ACTATTTACGAAGTTTCAGGCGGATGTTAATAATTCGATAAGAATTGGTCTGTACCAGGGACTATAATAATTTTATTTCATTATTACTAATTTCTGATGAATTGCATTAATTTGGTTACAATATGATTTGGCATTGATGGTTTCTACAGGTTTTAAGATGTAGTGTATCAAACGAAATGAAACCTTTATGAACAGTAACCATAACCTTTTTCTGATGAGTTGGGGACTTGGGAAAATGCTCTGCTGCTTCTCCTTTGTCGAGTCACTGTTCAGAACGTCTAAGGTTAACGTAAAGTATCCACTTTTCATGACGAGTAATAATCTTGGACAGAAAAGGGTAGCTTTTGTTTCGGCAAAGAAGTTAAGCACAAACTTCATAACGCTGTTTTCTTTGTTGTTTTTTAGGCGGTCGTTTAATGTGTGTGGAACCCAACCCTTCTATATTTTTTACCTTTTCAATCGCCTTGAGGTTAGTGTTGCCCAAAATCGGTCTTGGTCTTGCACTTAGCAAGACCAAGACGAAGGTCACCTAACTGTTGCAAGACCAAGACCAGGACTGCTAAAAAAAAAATGATTTTTTGAATAAAAATTAAGGCAAAATAGTTAGTGATATTTGACAATCTTATTTACTATATGTAAATAATTGGTATAACCAATATATATACTTTTGCATATAACTCCTCTAATTTTTCATTCGGACTTAATTAGGTTTCTCCTATCTAAAAACTTACAGTAATAAGCTAATAATTAACTGCAAGACTGTTGCGAGAATCTTACGCAAGACCAAGACCATGACCAAGACTGAGTTTGCAAGATCAAGACTCGTCTCAGTCCCGCATTTGGGCAACACTACTTGAGGTGTTCATCGACGGTCGATTTGCTAAGGTTTGGTGCAGAAGAGCCTCGATTTGTAGTTTTCTCATTAACTAAGAAGAATACATCAGTCTGTTACTGACAGTATAGAAGCCATAGCAGGGTATTTTTTTTATTGATTAAAAACTTTCTTCTATTTTATCCGAAGTGCCAAAGGGATCATGGAGCTCTTCTCCTTTGTCTACCTTTTCATTAGTTTTTTAGTTCGTAGAAGATTATGAAATACCATAAAGAGGGTATATTAATGAAACAGAGCTCAGTTCTTCCAAAGGAAATTTTATTTTACCAAAGGAACTATACTGAGTCTTGATGTTCGTATTTAAATCGTTAAAACAAAATTTATCCCGAGTTTATTAAATTTGTAGGAATTTAAGAATCGAAATCGGGATTTGTCACTCCTCCTTAAAATTTCCTTTCGTTAGATGCCTCATTTCTAGTTAAAATCTATTTCTCCTGGGAGATCGAAAAGGTATCTATAAAACAGTATAATACAGCTTATTTGAAGTTTGTATCCCGACTCAAATTTTGAAAGAGGGTTAAGTTTTTGAAATTTTTGTTGCTTTACAATGGTTCAGTATTGAAAATAATAAACAAAAAATATTTAAAAATCGCGATATCTTTACTAATAGTGCTCTGATTTCGATGAAACTTTCTTAATTTTTTAGAAAATTTAAGTGCCTTTGAAACATCTTACCACAATATCAACAAAAAAGTGTATACTTTTCGAGTTATTCGGAATCTAATTTTACCATCCCTCGTAAAATTTTTCCAGCTTCTTTCCTTTGGAATATGTTACATAGATAAATTTAAAGGGCATCAAGAAGAATATTTTAGCCAAGTATCATAGAAATCGGTACATTCGTTTAGGCGCTATAGTCTATAGCAAATAACTTTTTTCTGCCGCCATTATGAAAGGAAAAGGCGGATTATAATGACAATGAAGGAGGATCATCCTTGACTGACCTCTGATTTTACATCCAAATTTGAAAAAAAAATTGGTCCAGTAGTTTCGGAGAAAATGCGCGGACGGGGGGACGGACAAAAAAATTTTTATTCGTTTTTCGAATTCTAAGTATCCTGAAACGTAAAACCTTAAATCTTGAGAGGGGATTAAGTTTTTGAGTTTTTTGTTCGATTACAATGGTTCATTATTGAAAATAATAAACCAATATGAAAGGAAGTTCTCAAAACAAGGAAAACGGTTTCTGTAAAAGTATTCCCGTTAACGCTTTGTTTCACGGAGATGTTCACGTCTAAGGATTTTCCTTGTTATGAATTATCTAGCTTGTAATAAATAAGCTAATATGTGTTAATTAATAAAATGCAAACATCAACATTCATATTAAATGTTGTTCGAAATGATTATCTTGAGTATCAAGGAGGGCTCGGCATCTGTCTAACAAAGCAGCAATGGCCCAACAATACTGGACATGTCTTATCTTTTTCAAGTTTCTATTACTCTTCTTCGAAGAATTAAGGTCATTGACCGGGCTTGCATAGAATTAAACCTATATAGACTTACTCCTCACAGATATACGGTACAGCTAAAAAGACCCACTTAAGCAAATTTCAAACTTTCCAATCAAAAATATTAAGACTCATAACTAGATAACGGATTTTCGTGTAGTAAAAATTCGGAAAACGTACAGCAAAACTGTGTAATTAACACCTAAAAACTTGTAAAATCATCAATATTATTTAATTTATAACATTAATACATCGAAATCTTATCAGATCTTGAGTTAACCGAGAGATAAAAAAAAATTTAAATGTAAAGTTGAAAATGAAATTCCAGATTATAATCAACTATTATAACGATTATTATCAAAAACGCAAAGCATTGGAGGTTTGAAAGAATAAATGAAGGTAGAAATTATAGGTGCCTATGTCTATATTACGTAGACCAGACCAATTTTAGATGTATAACTTCTATTAAAAATAATAATGAAAACTTTTTTTTAATTTAATTTTTTTAATAGAGTTGAAGTTTCCAATATTATACATTCCCAAACGTTTTAGTTAAAATTTAAAGATTTTTGGAATAGACTGTAATGTTTGAGATTTTCAAGTGTTCAATAATTAGTGTTGAAGCTGTTTTTCTATACCACTAAAAAATATATTTTTGGGGATTATTTTCTTTCTAAAAAACAAGAAAAAAAGAAATTCAATTCTTTGATAAGAATACTTTTTTCTTGCTTGTTCTCCATTTAGTGCCTATCAGTGATTTCCTATCACCTGATTGATTCATAAGGTGTAAGGAACTTTTTCATACAATTCTTTGTCTAATTCTGGGAAGGCAGCTTTTTATTATCCAATCCTTTAGGCAAGTTCTGACCCAAGAATAGATCTTACTTCTGTTTATTTCTTCTTTTTGTAATGAATACGATTTTTGCTTCGCACAGAATTATTTGCCTTCCTCATATTTTTCTATTTTCAATAATGAATTTTATTGGAACAATATATTAAAATAAATATTACCACACTCACTTATACATTTGTATTTATAAATCGTCTGATTTAGTACAAAAGTGCAATTTAATGCAACAAAATCGTGCAATTTAAGCCAAAAACGGCAAAACTACACGTTGAGAAACGGATAGATGTTCGGGTCCGAAGTTTTTACACGCAAGCGAATGAAAAGTACAATAACATGGAAATTCGGTCTCTACTCATAACTAAAGCACCTTGGTACGTGACAAACAAAACCTTGCATACCGACTTCCTCCCGCCTACAGTGGATCAACCCATAAGAACTCTTTACAACCGCTTTCACAATAATTTACACGGACATACTAACATACTAATCAGAGATGAGCTGACGAGGAGACTAAAAAGGCGCTGGATAAGAGAAGAGGTATTGCTGGGTGCTATCCTACTACATACCTGACAGGTTTTTATCACCTGGTTTGAATCACACAGTGTAGTTTTTTCTCTCTTGTTTTCAGATGCTTAATCAATATTTTCAGTTATGGCGCTTACAGTTGAAATACTCTGTAGTGTACATTATAATGTTATAATTTTTTCGATTATTATTTTCAATAATCAACCAATGTGATCGACCAAAAAATTCAAAAACATAACCCCCTCTCAAAATTTGATGTTTCACGTTTCAGGATGCGTGGAATTCGAAAAACGAATAAAATGTTTTATGTCTTTACGCCGTCCGCGTCCGCGCATTATCTCCGAAACTACTCAACCGATTTTTTTCAAATTTGGATATAAAGTTACAGGCCACCCGAGGAAGATCCTCCTTCATCGAAATTATTATTCGCCTCTTACTTTCGAAATGGCGGCCGAAAATCCTGCGTTGCTCTAGACTGTAGCTCCTAAACGAATGTACCAATTTCAATGAAACTTCGCTAAAGTCATTTTCATGACGCCCTTTAAATTTATCTATATAACATACTCCAACGAAAAGAAGCTGGAAAAAAAGTTACGAGGGACGGTAAAATTTAATTCCGAATAACTCATAAAGTATACACTTTTTTGTCGATATTGTGATACGATGTTTCAAAGGTATTTGAATTTCTTACCAAATGAAGGAAATTTCATCGAAATCAAAGCACTATTAGTAGAGATATTGCGATTTTTAAAAAGTTTACGGAATTTCCTAAAAACAAGAAAAAAAAATCGTTAAAATTGGACAATTAGGAGCAAAGATATGGTCTCCAGTTTTTTTAATATGGTCTATTCCAAATGCTATATCCTTTGTTTGGTTTTTAAATTTTGAATGTGTTACTGAAGTAATGCCATTTTTTTTAGCATATTAATAATGATTAAAAAATAAAGTTTAGTCCAATAATTGGAATCACCTTTTATTTATTTTTCTTTGTAACTAGGAAGGTAATGCTACTTTAGATGTATAGTTGTTTGGAAATAATAAACCATTGTGAAATAATTTGCAGCGTTTTTTTTTTCGAACAATATGAAATGGAATATCAAAAAACATATTTAACCCTAAGGAATGAAGGATTAAGTCGTTCTTGTGAGACTAAAATTCGAGAGGTGCCTCAACAGTACTACTGTCACCACAACCCTCAGAGTATAAATATCGATATATAGGACGGAGTAATCGAGATGAGCCTTAGAGGGCGACAACTAACTGGATACGGAGCGGGCTAGGAGGGATGACAAGAGACCCCAATAGCACGGCCATTATTGGATCTGCCCTTCCATCAAAACCTACACCGGCCAAATCTCATTTGGTCCAGGGCCCCCTCAACCAAAGGTCTCTACCACAATAAACTCACCGCCGCTCTTCATTCTATTGTTTCTGACGTCCTCTCTCCTCCGGGGCTGAGGTTTTCATTTCGTTTCTTCCACTCCGTCTCAGGGAGTCTTTTAGTAGTGCGGAGAGGACATCACACAAGAATTACTAATACGACGTCACTTCGTCCGATAGATATACCTTTTTCTTGCCTTTTTAAAAATTAATTTATTATTATAACTTTTATGATATTTATATAATAATTTTCTAAAGATAGAAATATATAAACTTTTGAAAGAATGCTCCTCTCGAAAAAACTTGTTTATTTCAACTCATTGGTTACACTTATAAAAATGTTTTGAAGTAATTTAACACGGCTAGATTTGAAAAATTGAAAAAGCTCTACATACCCAAGAAAATTCATTATACGAATAATAGCAAAGCAAGTGATATACATGCAATATATTACGAATAATATATCTCTCTATTATATAAACTTTTTTTTAGTGACTGTTATATTTTATTTTAATATTAGGATAATAGGAGATAACAGAAGCTCAGCGATTATTTTACAAATTATAAAGCTGTTCATTTAATTACATATGGCTTAAGCTCCTGTTACCTTCTACTCTCCTAATACAAAGTAAAGATTTTAGAATAAAAAATTGTACAGCCAATGGTTTTTAAACTACAGAGTACATTTAAATTAAAGTTATACAATTTGAGCAACAAGTAGTACAATTAAATGAATGAACAGTCGTATTATTTTTAAAATGAGAGATGGTCCATATGGACATACATGCATGCATACATAAGTGTATATTCTCCTGGCTTGATTACGATGGTGCATTATCGAAAATAAATAATATAAACCATTAGTCCCCGTGGTACAGATCCCTTTTTTCAAATTGCTAACATCCGCCTGAAAATTCGTAAATAGCTTCATCTCATCGCAACTTAAAAATATTTTATTTACGAAAATTCTCGGAAATGGAGCGTTTTCAATCTGGAGTTCAGTAAATTCTGTCTATTTAATTAAGTACTATAAACTCGTAAAGACCCATTTGCTTTCTACTTGAATCTTAAGATAATTTGAGCACAAAGCAGAGAAAAAGGTGGTCTTCAGAAATATTGAGCCGTTTGGCGTGACCTACACCACCAAACTGTCAAAATAACGAGGTTATATAGGCCAAACGACACAATATTTTTGTAGGCCACTATTTCTATGGATTTTGTGATTAAATTATCTTACGATCCAAATCGAAAGCAAATAGGTATTTATGAGTTTTTAGTACCTAATTAAATAGATAAAGTTTGCCGACCTCGAGATTGAAAACGCCTAATTAAGAGAATTTTCGTAAATAAAATGTTTGTAGATTACGATGAGATGAAGCTATTTACGAAGTTTCAGGAGGATGTTAATAATTTGATAAAAAGAGGTACAGACCTCATTTCAATTTGTACACATGTATTCCGTGGTACAGACCACGGACTACATGTGTACAAATTGAAATAAGCTGTATGATTGCTAATAATTGTCCGATTTCGATGAAATGATCGATTGTTTAAATCGAAATGATTTAGAAACATCTTAAATGATTATAAATTCACTATTAATTAAATAACCGTTTATTTTCAAAGTGAACCCTGATCGATATTAAGATTTTTTCAGAAAATGCAATAAACTATATCTTTCATTCTACTAGTAATATAAAAAAAATAAATAAATTAAATAATTGTCTATTTACAGGACACATTTCCTGTGAACTGATTATTTCCACGAAAATAGCTGATTATTCCAGTCGCAATTAAAAAAAAAAAAAGTAAACTTCAAGTTCCGTTTTATATAGAAAAAATATTGATTAGGGTTTGTTTTGGAGAGAAAATATGGTGAATGATTAGAAGATTTTGTTTAAATAATGGTATAATCAAATATATTTTAAAAAAAGAATATTTGCAAGTTTCATTACATTCCTTGAGTATAAAGTTTTGGAAATAAACTTATTGATTGATACCAACTTTTGTTATATATTCATATTCGTTTACGGAAAAAAAATGCGCCATCAGATGCATCGGGTGTTTTTACATGGGAATCGATACTCTTCTAGATTTCCATAAAAAACGATTATGGTACACTTTGGAAATAAGCGACTCAATTTTATACTTATTGAACAATACAAGCAAATGAAGTTTTTTTTTCTTTATAATGTTTTTCTGAATAATGGGTTAGATGGCCTACACAGCAGAAATAAGCACATAAACGGAAAACAAATGTTAATTCCGGCATATTGAGTTAGAGCGCGACTTGCCCGAGCGTATAAACCTCCTCAATCTGGAATCCAACTGCACCAATTCCCTCTGGAATCTTCCAGCCATTCCAGAGCAGCGTAAACCTCTGCCCGAGTCCCTTCTCCATCTTTATCCCCTCCCCTCTCCTCTCCATCCCTCCTTAAGATTCTTCTCGCCTTTTATTTTATTTTTTTTATCTTATGCTCACTTGATAAATGGCTTTATTCTAGGTCAAGTTGTGCTTTTTTAGCATTCAGAACTGAATGCAATATGAATAATTTTTAGTGGAATTCTCAATATCGATAAATAAAATAACATATTTATTTCGTTCGGAAATAGATCAATAATAAACCTCTTAAGTTGTGATGCGTGTTTCAATGTTTCATATCAACGTTTGAGCTCCCTAGCATGCAAGAAGAAAAATGCGACACAAATTTATTCCAAGTCATACAATACACCATTTTAATAATTAGTATATGAAACACACATAAGTTTTTTTTTTGGATCAATTGTACTATATACTTACTAATTAGAAAATTTATCCATGAAAAAAAAATCATAAAAATTGGAGACTTTTAGTTAACAACAGGCCAACATTAAAAAAATAAGTAGTACATATTTTCAGATAGAATACTTACGTAAAAAAATCGAGTGTTAAAAACGTGTAACGTAGTAATTTTTTTTGGAATATTGTTAAAAAATGAGGATGTTAAAATTATTAATGAGTACATAAAATTATCTACTTAGCTTCAATATTTAAAAAAACTTAAACAACTTTGTAACTTTTGTAATATTTTTAAAAGAAATAAACATGTTTTGTGAATATATTTTAATTTTCTTGGTTGCTAATAACTTCATTATGGTTGTATGAACTTCATATCCAAGTCTGGCTTATACATTTCACTCTTGATAAGAAACTAAGGATCCTGTTTATTTGTACTAATAAAATGTTTGAAAATGTATATATATATATATATATATATATATAATTCGAAATAGCATCGATAAGAGTTTGAGGAATTAGAGCTACGCCAAACTAGTCCCAACACCGCCGCGGATAACAAGAAGACAAGAACAAGAAGTCGAAGACGCTTAACCGAGAAGGTGCAATTACGAGAGAAATTAACAAGTACACCACCTGAACCACAAAAGGCAGTTAGGCTGCATTGCGGCCTGACGTCACGACTTTGGTAATTAATACTCGTTAAGTGATTGGCTAAGCGGCCTCAACTTTCTACCCAATCATTGGCTCCCTTCTAATTACAGCTAGAGCTAACCTTTCATTTACATTTCGTTAACCCCACTCTTTCCCTTTCTACTATCGAAATTCTTAATCTGTTTAAACGTTTCAAAAACTCGTTGGCCGGCGAAGCTTTAAAACTCTAGAAGCATCTGAAGTGGGGGGCATACTTCGACGTAAACTTTGAAATATAACTCTCATGAACTGCACAACTTAAGAAGAGAGAAATAGCACTTGAAGTAACTTTTAGGAGAACATAAACAGAAGTGATGTAATTTAAGAGAAAAAATTAAACTGAAACTTGCTGAAAATTTTCTTAAAGGATTATAATAAATGTATTAATATAATAAATAGAGTATTATAATTTGGAAAAGCGAGGCTTAACATTTATGGAAAGAAACGATGCCTAAAAAATAGTTTAATTTTCTTCTCATTGATCTATATTTATATTTAACCTTTCTATTTTTATTTTATTTTTTTATTTGATACAAATACATTCTGCCACATTGAAGGATATTAATATTAAGGCTACGTTATTCATTCACACAATATGTACAGACTAATAATAACTAAGATAGAGATAATAAAGAAAAAGTAATATTGAAAAATAAAATAAGTAAATTAATATGCCAGTGTAAAAAAAAAAAAAAAAGTTAGAAGTTAAATGAAATTAAAGTAAATAAAACACATTCACAAAAGGGGAATAAATAGAGATAATAAATAAATAAAATAATAATAATTAAGAATGGAAATGAAAATAAATAATAAGAAAAAAGGAAAATAATAATGTTCACTTCAGAAATAGAATATTTCTGAGACACATTCATAGCTATGTACAATATTTACATTCGTCCAGGGAACTCTGAGTCGTGCTTTATTTCCCAAATGTGGAAGCCAAGGCAAGACTCCAGGAGATCCCAGTGGAGATTGATGGAGGGCACTAAGCCAACAGACGCTCAGGACCTGAGTGAAGAATCTGGCCATTGCCAGAACTCCAATATATTAATATTTACAGAAGGTCGCGGTGCCACTGCCGTTTTAACCTCCGGAGAGGATTGTAGGGATGGCTGGAGCTAGATAGGGATTGTCCTACACGATTTGGATAATGAGTGAGGTTCTGGGGAAATTTGGAAAATTTGTCTGGGATTAAGTCAAGAACAAATGGAATATAAAGGTCATTATGGAAGGTTTTATTATTATTTTTTTTAAATATTAAATTTCGAAACCTGCTAAAATATTTTTAATAAAATATCTTATCTTCCGCAATACCTCCCCAAAGGCCTGCGGTGCCCTCATATACTCTTAAATTCTTTTCAACCAGTTATTCCTTGCTCTTTTCCTCTATTGTCCACCCGTAGACATTTCCTTTGGTAGTTTTTCCATCCGTCATTCATTTTTAATGTTCAAAGAAATATTTAATCTATCCACTCCGAATATCTCTCTTATATTTTCTCTCTGATATTTTCAAATAACTTTTTTTCTGAAAGGAAAATTCTTTTTAGAAAAGTATTTTCTTAGTTATTTTTTTTTCTTTTAATTATGCATAAAATATTTTGTAATTATTTGTTCATGCAGATTTGTTTACCCCATATTTAATTGTAAAATAAAATTTTAAAAAATTGATTGCTATTATTTACTATAAGAACTGTGAAATTGATTTTGATTTATTTTGTATATTAGTCAGTGAGAACTCTTTCTTTTTGTAATTGACGAACCAACTTATTTAATAAGAGTATCTATGAACTTTATTAGGTAATTTCTAGCAAAAAATAAAATAATAATAACAAAATAAAAATAAAAGATTTTAAAATGAATTTCACAATAAGAGAATAACTGAATAACGAGGATTATTGCTCGTTTATTGAAAATTCCAAAATAACCATATCAAACTTAATTAGTAAGTAATTAATTTTACAGTTAATTAATTATATATTTTATTAACACACTTAGGGGCAGTTATACAATGCACATCAGAACTAATATGTAAATTGAATATGTAATGGAATTGAATAAGATGCCTCTAATCTACGTAGTTCCACATGATAACCAAATAGAAATAAATAAATAAATAATTATAGATTAATACTTAAATCATTTGGTAACATTTTCTAAAAATCAAAGGCACTGAGCTAATAGTATTTAAAAATTACTTATTTACTGACATTAAGTTATTTCAATAAAGTTATATATTTAAATATATACAAGAAGAGATTGGTGTATTGATAAATAATGATTAAGTACCAGGCCAATAAGACGAAAGAACAACATAATTTCGTATTTATGGGCCATCTTAACTACTCAAACATAGGTAGGTATAAACATAGGGATAAACATTAAATTTTAGAAAAAAATGAAAGAAACAAATACAAAATATAATAAAAAAGAAGAAATAATGAAAAATAAATATTGATCAGACGTAGAGAGGAGCAGAAGACTCAGGGATTATATAACAATCTTGTACTGATAACACAATAAGCATATAATTTACCTTTAAAATACGTTAAAACCACAAAGGTTATTACCATCCGCATTACAAATGCACCAAGTTAAAAAAAAAATCACCAAAAACTTAGTAGGTATTATTAATTCTAAGTAAATAATTTTTTTTAAGTTATTGAAAAATTTAGGAATTTTTAAAATTTCAGCAGGCGCCGATTCTTATTTGGACGGTAGTAATGCGTTCCCTGCAATGATTGAAATGTTCCCATTCGACCTCACCAATATTTTAAACGTTCCGTAATTATAATTCTATAAAAAAATGCATAATTATAATAAGCACGTAGAATTCCTTCGATTAAAATCAATTCCTGCTTAGCCGTGTTTAGATATTATCCAAAACATGGCGAGGACGAGTGTTTATAAAAGACTAGTTGTGCTTGGCTCGTGCATGTTTTCTAGTGTGGATACAGATAGAGGAATGCCACCTGGTCTCCATGGCAAAGTTTAGAAAATTGTTTTTTTTTTCTTCTTTAAAATGTCTTATAATTATGTTTTTAGAATTTTGAATTCGCGCCGATAATTCGCGAATACTGATAAACTTCCTGCTCTCCAATTTGGAGAAACATATCAATCGAAATACTTGTATCTTTACGTTCGGTACGCAGAAGATCTCAGTTAAATTATGTAAAATTTGATGAGGTTTATAAAATTGTCCACTATATATTATGGTCCCAATAGTAATAACTGAGACAGAAGGAAGTCCATAATCTGTTTTGTTAGTTTTAATCGAGATAACTTGAGTCAAAAATCCAAACGAACATATAAATAAATAATACGTAAAAAAAAAAAATGTACAAATAATTACACCAGTTCTAATGTTCATAAGTTCCATTAGAAAAGCATTGGAAGGATGCAATGAGCACAGAAGTTGAGTGTCCAAAAGCAACACAACCTAACCTAACCTGGAACTATTCAAGGAGAAGAAATACACTGACGGGGCAAGACACCAGCAGACATTGAAAAACCTATTCCGAACGATATTAATCATAACAGGAATAGATATCCACCCTATTTTATTGACTACCCCCCCCCCCATCGCTCTCCCCGGGGGTGTTACCAAAGCAAACGGAACATGCCCTAGCCGCTAGGAGGGAGGCATTAGGGGCGGCTAAACAAGTGGCCGGTGTTTGCCGAGAGCAGAGGCAGAGACACGTACAGATTAAGTGGGAGGTAGGGAACCCAAACAAAGGCCAGATAACAGCCCTGTCTAATAGGATCAGGTGTTTTTAACTCGATTCCAGGCCCTTGGAGAAGTTCCAGCGGTCGATCGACCATGCTCCAGGCCTATTAGTGCTGCTGCTTTCGGGAGGATAACCAGAACATTTGGAATAAAAAAAACGTTTTATCCTTATAATAATGTAATAATTTACATCAACACACACAAACAAAATACACAGTTCAACAAAAGTTAATCATGATATCTTAAAAATTTTGTCAAAAGACCCTTTTACATAGCTTAAGTTCTCGAACAAGGTCTGGGAGTAGTTAACATATTTTTCCTCTAGGAGTGCCAGGAAAGTAACATCTCACCTTGCAACTTTACTTCAGGAAGTGGTGTCCATCCCATGGCCAAAGAACCTCGTTCTCCCTCCTCTCAAGGAGGGAGAAACAGAGAAAGTTGAGGTATAATTAGAAAAATCGTAGATCGCGTATAATTTCACTTGCTGCGACCTGTTCCATGCTTCCACTTGTCTCTTAGTCCGACAATTCATAACCCAGTCGAAATTTTCCTCAAAAATTCAAAATATAACCTCAAAAATTTTGATGGCGTAACTTGCGCCATGAAACTCCCCTTCTGGGCACTCCTGACTTCAGGTGTTGTTTCTTATTCGTGTTAAAAATTGAAGAATGAATTAATATTTTCCTTAATTCAACTTCATATATAAGTTGTCCCATGAATAATAGAAAATACTTAAAGAAGTAAACATCAAGAATAACAAAAAAGTATACATAAGTAACGCAATGTCGTTCAAAGATGGTCTATTCCTTACCACTTCAAATAATTTCATAACTGATCATGGGCTCAATCCGAAATTACGGGATATACAGCTTATTTTAAGTGATAATATGTTTCTTTTTTTTTTAAAAATCTTATTTTATTGAGACAAAATATATTTTGCTTCAATCAAGGGCATTGAGTATTTGCGATGTGAGAAACTCATCCATACAATATGTACAAATATGTTTCTTAACTACAAGGATCAGTTTGGTCAAAAATTTCTAACATGGTGAATCAATTTCGTTCCGCGACCTAACCAAATCCTTTTACAAGATTTCTCGGCCAGAGTGTGTTTATACAGGAAACTAAACCGTGTATAAGGGTCTTAACAGATGTTGGTTGGAGATTTTCCACACAAAAAATTAAAAAATGTTTATTCTTTAACGAATGCGGTTGGGTGTCGGGGTGTGATTTGATCTTTGGTTTGTTTATTTTCTGTTTTAATGATGGCTGAATTGACGAAACGTTGGCCGATTATTTCATTGTTTACCTGAAATTTAGATACGTAAAGCTGCGTGTTTAGAATTTTTCCATTTATAATCTAACATTGAATTTCAGTCTCTTGATGAGTAGTTTACTCCTATACATTTATTTAAACGCTTCGTTAATTGTATAAATGATTAAATGAGCCTTTCGGTTGACAGAATGATTAACTCCAATACAAAAACTTTTGAGTAAAGTCATTTTAGTGATATTTCTAGTTGGAAAATTTATAATATCTGTACTGAAAGTGGATAAGTTGATTTCTGAGTAGGTGATTGCAGAGTTGAATTAAAGAACTGTGAATAAAGGTATCAATTTCCTCACTAGAAATATCAATAAAATTAATAATAAAAATGTTAAAATTAGAGTCATTCTGTCAACTGAAAGGCTTAAATATTAACTATTTAGACATCAACAGAAATTCGTTTCTACTCAAATTAAGGACAGTACGTGAAAGTAGTGTGATGCGCTCACCGTACCAGATTTTTTATTTCTATAAAATAAATAAATAACATAAAATCATAACGATTAAGGTAAAAAAAATAAAATCAAAACTTAAATTTTCCGCCACTCTATTTAAAAAAAAGAAAGAAAAGTAGAGATCAATGATGTTAGCATGTTCTGAGTTTAGTAGGTAGAGTTGATAGTTCAAAGTCACGGAGGAAAAAATAAAGTTAGATTGGAAGATGAATGCTCAAAAACGTCTATGACAAGAACAGATATTTTAACAAACTAAGTTTATAAAAATTCGTTACTGTGTTTTGTGAAAAATGTTACAAGGCATCCGAGAGTTCCTTGGCATTCTCTTGGATGGATTTACCAAATGGACCAATGGACCAGATAGACCAAATGGAAGCTACTAAAATGTTAGTTGAAGAAGAGAGAGAAATAATATAATCCTTAGTTTAAAGAGAACTCGGAAGTAAGGTAAGAATAGTTGCTTGAGAACTAAGTCCTCTCTAAAATTCCTGCTTTATTTGTTACTGTAAACCAATGTTCCTAAGGAGATCATTTTAGAGATGATTACGATTTATAGGCTCACGCAGTTTAAAATTTAAGCATACATGGATTAAGATGCGCTATAAAGCTTCTTCCAACGTTTAACAAACTACCGATGTATAATAAAATTAGGCTTACCCGGCGGAGGGAGAATGAGTCCATTCCTTACGGGTAGCACTTCTTGCGATATGCTGATAAATGATTCACATCATTAAACATATCGATAAAAAAAAGGTAGTCTTAAAATGTTTAAATCCAATAGTGTTTTTCAATATTTTACAGCCATCGATATAACCTACTATCTCAATTCAGAATCCAATACTTGGTTTCTAATATTCTTAAAATTTATTGTTTTCACATTGTTAAATGATAAACAAGGAATGACTATCTAGCTCGTAGGTCCGTATCAGGTGCGACCATCCCCAACAGCTCGATGACGCATGAACCTTTCAAAGGTATTTTATTGTTCAACTGTTCTCAAAAACGGCGCAAGGGAAAGAAGAATTAGAAAATCGGGGATGAGATATAATTACACTTGTTTCAGTCTGTTCAACATTTTTCCGTCGTCCTCTGATTTGAAAATGAATATTACGAAAATTCATTATCACGTCGAAGTATGCTCCCTAAAAAATATTAATGGCTCAACGCCATGAAACTCCCTTCTGACATTTCTTGGCCCTTACGTTAATATAGGAAAATATCACGACAGTAGGAATTAATCTGATGAAGCATTAAGCTAAGAATCATTGATTTACTTCATTCTAAATAAATACGGATATACTTACGTTCTTGACTATAAAACAAGGAATAGATAGCATTCTGCGCATTGATTCGAAAATGGCCCAACGATGAAAACTTAAGATATAAGGTAAGTGAGTAGGAAAACGCTGCAATATGCATAACGTGTGAAACGGTCAATTTAAGAGGGGCGGGGAGGATCCTAAAGCCCAGCTAAGCGGATTTTGAATGAAGTGCGCTTTGTTAGGGGGGAGGATAAAAAACGGAGCGGGCTTATCGGCTAATCCAAATAGGGCTACCGTCCCTCGGGGTAAATATGGTCTCCTCTCCAAGGTGGGTCCGCGCCATAGCGCCCCTATATCATCCCTTCCTTATTTATAAACAAAAGCCAAAAAAAAAATTCATTCTTTTTTTTTTTGGCATAGCCTATACCAAAGGTATACAGTTGGAAAAGACAAAATAAGTATTAAAATTGAGGAAATCACTTTGGCCCATAGACTAAAAGGGTTTCGGATTTGCTGCATCACATGTTCTTGACGCTTGAAAGGTTGGGAGTGCCATAGGAAGAGCTCCTAACCATAGAGGAGATCCACAGCAGCAATGACAGAATAAATAAAATCACGTCTAGATTCGATCTCTTACCGGAGCCAAATAAGAGTAATATCACCTAAAATAATTTATATATATATATATATATATATATATATATATATATATATATATATATTTTTTTAAATTATTTTAATGGTATTTACAACTGTATTACATAGAAAATACAATAAGTAAATGTGAAATTGGTGACATGACATGTACAACATGAAGAGAAACTACCCATTGGTAGAACTCAAATTAAAGTTCTATATTAGAAGATCCCGAGGCCATCTTCTTTTCAGACGCCTCGGAGGGTTATCAGGGATCGAGGAGGAAGCAAGGTTTGAAACGAGAGGATTCGGATGGTTCTGCAGTTTGTTATGGAAGGACAGGTATCTGGATTGGGCCAAATCGGAAACACATGGAACATTAAGGTCTTTATGGATGATTTTATTTGTGACAAAGAAAGGAGCGTTGAGGATTTTACGAAGGATTTTGGATTGTAAGGATTGGATACGAGAGGAATTCGATGGTTTAGTGGAGCTCAACTCCGTAAGTCCAAATAGTCTTATTATTATCATATATACGAGTCGTTTATAATTGATTGAAAGCTTAGATGGTTTATCTAGTAAGTGCTGCAGTAGTCGAAAACATGGGGCGGTTTCTAGTCGTTTCAGTCTGGTATGGGGGTTCCAAGTGAGTCGTTTGTCAACGTGGAGTCCTAAGTATGGGATTTGTTCGACAGGGAGAAGAGGGCTATTGTAGAAGGATACTGTAGGACAGGAAGTCATAGGTTTACGGCGAAGAGTGAAGGTTATTTGATGGGATTTATTGGAATTTATTTTAATCCTCCAGTTTTGACACCATTTTTCAAGGCTTGTGATGAGTGATTGAAGAGTTTGGGATGCAATAGATGGATCGTTATTAACTGATAGGATACACGTGTCATCGGCATAAAATAATATATATAAAATAATCTATATAAAAAAAAAGGAAAGCGGGGAAATCGATGTTATGAGAGGTATAATAAGTATGTAAATAAGGAAGATATGATGGATCATCTATATCCGTACTAATTATTATTTTTTACAAGTATTCTGAACATAGTGCATAATTTTGTTATGCGATTTTTTTTGTGTCAAACTTAGATTTTTAAAATAGATGAGTTGAAGCTTATTAATCAACAGATATATACCTCTGATAACCATAACATTCAATGGCGTTGATGACCGGCAGGTTTATGCCTTTACTATACAACCAACCAACCATACCATTTAAATAGCGTTAAAATTTAAAATAAGGAAATAATATGATTGTTTAACAATTTGGCACAGATTATTCATAGAAATGAATTTGGACTAATGAAAATTTGTTTTTATATTTTGAGGGGGTCCAGCCCGAAGGCATACGTTTCCATATGATAGTTATTATTTATTGAAATTTTTTGATATACAGGCTTCAATTTTTTTTTTTTTTGTATTTTTAAAATATTATTTCTTTATTA